AGATTCCCCACTTGTGGCTCACTTAGGATGTTAGTGCAAGTCCAATATAAAGGACGCCCCATCTCCTGTCCTATCCTCCTACCAGCCGTTCCTGTCTCCATCTTGGCAGCCGGGGTCGTTCTTTGTGCCAGTGCAGCATGTTCGCTCATGCTGAGATGGTTTCTTGCTGCCATGAAGGAAAAGGTTAAGAACTAAAACTAGCTCTGCCGTCATCTGTAAGGCATTAGGAGTGCGGTGCTGCTTCTGCTTTGCAGAATTCCAACACCTGATGGGTTGGACCTTGCTGCCTTCTCTGAAAGACAAGCCAGCTATGGGGGATTTATAAATACCCTTCCATACGGTGGACAGGGAGAGTGGCAGGGTGGAACTCAGCACATCCGTGTGGCTTGGTTGAGATTCAAGTGATGTGAGCCTGTTTTTGAAATATGTCAATTATAACCAGTGCCACGGCATCATATTTTGTACCACTTTGTCTAGAAATATCTGAGGGGGCAAATCTTGGTCATTTTGGATGTGGAGGGCCTTCTGTGCTCAATTCAATCACTGCTTGCAGGCTGATTGTGAGGATGCAGCAGATCAAAAGAAGGAGCAGGTGGCATTAGAAGGTGGATTAATAAAGTGAGGAAGAAGGCTGCAGGCAGTGGGGATTACCCCCATCTTTCCCTTTTCCTGGCTAGCTGTGGGCTTCCACAGTCTTTGTAATACAGAGTTCAGTGCCTAGCTGAGAAGTATGGTCCAACTAGTGAGGTGGATGTACTTTTTAATGTCCACTGCTCTATCTAGGCCTATGGGTAATAATGCTTCTCTTTAACATCTGAACACAAGGGAGTCTGCATTCTGTGCTGTCTGCTGCCCAAAGGTTAATTTAAGCGTAGCTGAACAGTCAGGGAAGAGGAAGAAGGGATGTTTGTCTGAAGTCTGTGTTCAAGGCAGTAGTTGTGCCAGACTCTGGAGAGGAAATCCATTTGAGGAAGCGAACTAGCATGATGTAATGCTCTGAGAAAAACCTATATAAATGAGGAACTATACTAGCCTCAGTGCTGTGCCTTTTGGTCTGACTTCTGTGATGCTGTTGACCAGGAGGAGCAATGCTAAACAGTCCCTGTAGGTGATGAGGCATTTGCTTTTCATCTCACTGGGTCAGGGTAAGGGATATCATATACAGACAGGACATCATCTAGCAAAAGTTAAGTTTAGCTGCAAATATCATGGCGTATCACAGTGATATTTGTGTGATGTGCTTCTAACCTGTTACTATGAAGGTATAGTGCTTCTCATTTTAATCAGTTTTTTGAAGTATTTACACCTTCACCATGCTTGAGCCATTCACATTGACACCTGTTGGAAGTATCTGAAATGCAACCATGGAGGCTGACCTGTTACACAGCCTTGGTCTACAACACACCTGTAATTTCCCACTGTAAAACCTAATACTGCTGGGAGGGGTTAATGATAGGGTGACTCATGACCTGCCTGTTGCTTGCCCAGCTCTGATAAAATCTCTGCAAAGAGGGTTCAGATGATCACTTGCTCTGATCATACCGGCTTATGTGGGTGCTTTGTCTCCAAACTCCTGTCTCTGCTGGTAGACATCATATTTGAAGATTTGAAGTTGACAGCTCACATCAAGCTCATGGGCTTTTCAGTGACTTTAGCAGAAGGATATCCAAGAGCTATATTTATGATGTAACATATTGTATCATAGGTTGAGGAGCATCAAATAGTTTGGGATTTTTTCTTCATTCTCTTTGAAGTGACAACAAAAGCAATGACCACATTATTTGAAAACATTCTGGTTCTTGAGACTGTGTCTGCTGGGTTCTGCGACCGCTCTGTGCAGAGCTTGGTTCACGCTGGGGATGGATAACCTCTGTGAAGGATTGAATTGATTGGATAGGTAACTGGGGGGCACCTGTGACAACTGCCCTTTTCACCTGGCCCATGAGGCCCTTCATGTGGATGCTGCTCAGAACCAGGCAGGTGCTAGGTGCAAGTCAAAAGTACATCTCCTTCAGAGAGCACACAGAGCAGCTTGGGCACAGGTCTGCTTTGCAGTAGTGCATCTTTACATCTCTGTGGTGGAGTAAAGGTGTCTCGGAGCAGGCATGAATTAATTTTTCTTCTGACCTCCTTTCCTCACTGACAGAGTAGTAGAGAGGCACTGTGACATGAGGACGAAGCAAATTGATCAGTTCTGGCAAGCATGATGGTGGTGATGAGGCTGCAACAGTGTGCTGACAAAATGGTGCTGTATTAACTTTGTGTTGATTTATTCTACATGAGAGCACTGTTTGTTCCCATGCAAGCAAGGAAGGAAGGAAGAAGTGGAGAATCGTGCTTAGTATTTGGTTTTAGTGTTGCAGTTAATTGCAGAGTTCTGTGAAAAGTGAATATATTCCTTTTATTAGTGTTCCCCCCCTCTGTTAAACTAAGCATAGGTGAAAGCATTGGCTTCCCAAGATAACCATATTAGCATAAGGTCATTTTTGTTTTGTCTCACTGTTCCATATGTATTAAAAGGAGACAAATCCAGCCTTACTTGTGTGCCTGAAAATGAGGCTTAAATATATTTCTTACTTCTTTCTTCAGAAAGAAGAGTCAGACAAACCCCGATAGCCTTTGAAAACTGAAATGTGTGGGTTTTAATATATGTTAAAAAAAGGGGGTTATGTAGATCTGCACAAGAAATGGAAAAATAACCATAGTCCTTAAAAATGCTGGGAGAGAAAATTATTTTTTACATAATAGAAAATATTTGATTCGATTAAAAAGGCCATTCTTTAAGGCAAAGTTCTGGGTTTGTTTTTTTTTTTGTACTTGAATTGATTCTGTAGTATTGCTAATTTGTGGTTTGAACAGCACATTATGCATTACACTTCACTGTAAGATGGTTATTGCAGCTTAGATCACTCAGAGCTCTGCTTATCTGTATGTGATATCTGTACCTTAGCCTGGTTCAGGCTTCCAGCAGGTATTTATGTTTATTTGATAGCTGAGATCAACTCTTTGTTCTTTGTGATCTAATAAGAGATACAGAAGAGAAAGGGTAGTGTGTAGAGTAATAATATGTTCAGTCCAGCTTTTATATAACAAAAATTGTACAAGGTACACAGTGATCCAGTTTACAGTGAAGCATGAAAATGAGCTATGCTGAAAGCTTTGGGAGAGGAAAAGTATCTGTAGGAGAAAGTAAACGCTTGCCAGGATTGTATGACGAAGTTACCAATTTCACTTCTGTAGCAGTGGAACGACAATATAAGCAGCCATTTCTTTTCTTTGAACAGTGTTGCTAGGTTTTTACAGATGAGTGTGTTTGGTTTAGAAGGGTAGTCCCAGTTTTACAAGTATCTCAGACATCTGTGATAAAATGAGGACCTCTGAGCTGCTTATTTCCTGTCTTAGTTCAGATTAAATACTGTGGCCCCATCAACGTGGGCGGCCTCAATCTTGTGCTCAGTAAGAGAGCAGTCCTGTGACTTAGTATCACTCACAAAAATGTATATAGTCCTCATATGGTTTGGTGGTAGTTGAATTTTGTTACTCAAAAGATACACTGAGATGTAAAATCAGGAGGAATTTACATCGCTTTTGTTTCCCAAGCAAGTGCCTCTTTGTGCCACTGGCTGCTATGTATTCAGCACTGTTCATGCCTGAAGCACACTAGTGAAATTCTTTCCCAGCGAGTGATCCACCTGTGGCCTGGGCCCCTCCTGCCTTTCCACTTCCGTATGTACCAGCACCTGCTCTCCATGTTATTTTCTCACCAGAGGCATCTGTAGATAAACTGTGACTCAGTTTGAGCATTAGAGTCGTGTTTGCAGGGTGAGGATTGAACAGGGGAAAAAGGAAAGGCAAAGCACCTGAGCAGTCCTGCACAGCGAGGCTTATAGGACTCATAAAAATGGGGAAAACTTCTTCCAGCTTTTTTGAGGTTGATCAGCCTCCACAACAGTAGACAGCAGAGAGCCTCTGCTGGCTCAGGAAGCTGTCACGCACAAAGGCCTTTGTGGTGGCCATAAATGCATGGAAGGCACTAACTGTACCTGCCAGTGAACCGCGCAGCTTGTCTCTGTGCCACTGAGTGGGGACCAGAGCTCTGAGCGGGAGGAGTCTGTTCTTCATACTGCTTGGAAAGTTGCCAAGTACAGTTTATCCTCTTAGGATTTCATCAGGCACAGCAGGGACAGAATGAAGGGGAAGGGAAAGTTGGGGGTATGGGTCCAGAAGCATTGTAACTCCTTCTTCACAGTACATCAGCAGGTTCTCACCTTTGGGGTGGCAACAGTTGCTGGTACCCACTGAGCTCCTGCAAGGTCAGGAGCTGCTCTCTCACCCAGGAGCAAGTGTTTAATTCTTTCCACTTTGAGGGAGAAGCAAGAAAAGAGTGTGCTGGATTTCAAAATGGGGCAGTAGCCATTGTCCATATCATACAGCAAATCTCAGTGTAAGTCCCCCCGCCTCCCAGTGCAGGGGGATTTATGAGCTATAGAAAATGCAGAAGTAGGCAGTGAACAAGAAGCTGCTGAAAATGCACTCAGCTGCCATGGAGAAAGGAGCAGAAAGAGGGTTAAAAAGATTTTTTGACTAACAGGCCAGGTAGATCAAATCCTTTGCCTCTGATCCTTGAAGGGACAGAAGAATAAACTTGGCAGAGTCATAGAATATGAGCCTACAAACCTAAGAAAGGCCTGATCTTCCAGCAGAGCAATCGGGGCACTGACAAATGAGTGTAAGTCAGATTCAGGTGGGAATGTATCTTTCTGTCACCATTGACCCTTGAAGAAGCTCCTGTCCTAAGAATTTCAGTTAGGTGTCGGCATTTAGCTGGGTCAATCTGGGCAGCAAGGGCCTATACTAGTCTTGTGCTGAATTAGTTTTTTTAAAAAAACAAAACAAAAAAACCCCCCCAAAACTCTGATGTGTTGTTTAGTGAATCAGTTTTTCCTGGAAGAAGATACTCCCAAAGAGTGAGATTACCTATTTTTTTGCTTTCTTTACAGCAGTGTCAATGGTGTGAATGGAGCCAAAGTGGTGCACAAGTCTGGGCAGAATCCTCTATCAGCTGTGACTTTCACTCAAGGTAAGTCACTCCTCTGCTTTAAGATCATTACGCGATCAGTGTCGTGCTCTGTGCCCTGTGGTAACTGTAAAACTTGCAGTGCTGGGGAGAGAGAATGACGGTCTTCTATGCCTTTTCTATTCTGGTGGGCCCAGCAGGCCTAGGATACCTTGGGGTACCAACCAAATGAAACACAGCACTTGGGGCAAACACTGGCAAGTGGAAATTGCTGAGACTGTTTGGTATGTATGGTGGGTACACAGCTCCTGCCCTACACACTGCCCTCTGAGTTGGGACTTGCTGGAAGGGGACTCCTAGGAGTGCCTTAAAAATAAAGGAATGTCATGGAAGGCAAGAGTGGGGGGATGCTCAAGGCTCCCCATCCCCTTATGCTGTGTGCCAGAGGAGTTGTCTTTGGCTGTTGTCTCTTGCTTTGTTCTGTGCCTGTGTTTTTTATAATGGGTTTAGTGAAGACACTTCCCTCAGTTTTTTCCTGTTGATATGACAATGAAGTAGAGAGATGTGGGTAAAACGTAGGCATTCCTTCCAAAGTGCTATTTCTGTGCACAGAAGAATTCAAGGCAGCAGCATCACAAAACCCACAAGATACTGGTGCTATATTATAATATCAGCTGAACAGCAGTTGTTGGTTGTGTTGTGTTCGGTTGGCTGAGGAGCCAGGAGTTAGCAACAAGTGGTAAAAGCCAGTCTGACCAAAGGCTATTGGTATGGGGGTGGAAAAAAAAAAAAAAATTAAGAGCACTTATGTGATTGGCTGGGATTTTTTTTGGCTGGAAAAAAAAATCAATTTACATTTAATAAATCTGTTTCCCTTCACAGTTTCTCAAAAAGCTCTTAATTTTTAACAAATTCTGTGTGTACGTGTATAGGTAAAAAATGAAAGCCCGATGTTCATTTGAGGGTGGAGTTTATATATTTAAGCTGTAATACCCTTGGGTGTCTGGTAAACAGTGATGTAAATATCTCGTGAACAAAAGTTCATGAGAAGAACTTTTAGAAGTAGCTGCAGCTCTCAAGACTGCAGAGCTCTGTGTGAACAGGATGGATGGATGTGTGACAAGCTGAAGAAATAGGCCTTTTGGCTTTAGCCTGACTTCTCGGGATTGGTTAGTGAATGCTGCTTAAAGAATCTTCTCTCTCTTGGAAGTCAGTTAGCATTTCAAGTTAAAATTTATTTCAGTTAACATTGAGTAATTTTAAGTTAAAGAAAGGGCTGTAGCTGTCATTGCCGAAAGCTAAAAGTACAGCTAGAACAGAAGAAAATAGTCACATACCCTAAAGGCTACATGCTGCGGCTCAGTAAGCAAAGCCCCCCTTTTCTCATAAATGGCTTTTCCTTCCTTGACAACTCCTTCCTGAAAGCTAGGGTAAGCAGGAGACTATGCAGCACATCTCAAAGTTCATCAGACCCAGTTACTCAGAATAAGACAGGCTCCAGAAAGACAGACGAAAGCTCTTTGGTTTCCTCAGAGGTTTCTCGTTACGGCAAGCATTCTCACACCACCTCCTCCCCCGAGTTCCCTCTGCACAGAAGGGAACCTAACAAAGCGTTGAGACTAATTGCCTTTCTCCTAGCTGCTGATCTAGAAAAACGTATCCACAAAGGCTGCGTTTTACTCTGTACAACAGCACAGAATCCCCTGATTGCTGTTAGTAGTGTTTCATTCCTGGAGCCTTCTGTGGTCTATAACTAAGTTGTGGCAGGTGAGGGGAAAGGGAAGATGCCTTGTGATTTTATGGTGAATCTGTCCAGTGGTGAAAACAGCCCTTCACGTCTTACGGAGTGATGGCACTGCAAGTAGGGACATCCCACAGGTAGCGTATCAGCCAGCTAACCTGACCTAAGTGGTCAGGCTTGCTGAACCCAGGATGTCTGATGAGTCTCAGAGATGAGGAGTGTTGGGTTTTTTAAGGCTTTGGGACAGACTTGTCTTGTCTCAGATAAGAGAGGTTAAGTGAGACCCAAATGACATAAGCATTCCTCACAGTGGTTTTCTCATGTAGGTGAATGTTTCCAATAGATAGGAACAGCCCTGAGTACTATTGTTTCTGCTCACATGTAGCTAGAAGAGCACATAGCTCTCTTCATAGGCACCGGAGTTGCCACAGTTACCCACCTCCAAGTCGTGCCACAGCAAAGCATTGGATATGGGACCATACGCTGAAATCACCCTGAAACTGAAGCCAGCACAAAATAAGAGCTGCTTGTTAAGCACTGCTTCGTGGCATGTGGCAACAGTTTCTCAGGACTCATGTTGGCTTGAGTGGTATGAAAGAGGAATTCAGCCTGTGGTTGTAACCTGTGCCAGGGGTTCCCAGATTTGTGTTGCTGTAACGCACAGGCAGCAGCAATAGCAGCCATAGGTATTGGCAACAGCAGTCACCATCAGTACTGGAGTCAAGGGCAGATCATGAGATGGTGGCCGCTGGAAATGTGCTGTTTCATGCATGTAGGAAGGTGTGCCTCGAGTTTCTGGTTTGTACCCTCACGTCAAATTTTTAATCCTTAAGCTACCATATTCCTTCCCAGGGGGACCCATCCTCCCTGTCCTGAGTCAAGACCCGCACCGTACCCTTTCATTTATCAAACCCCATCCCCATCAGCTTTAACTGTGCTCATGGAGACGTTTGCCCTGTGACCTGGGCAGTTCCTCCTTCAGTGATCCTGGTACCACAGTTTGGGAAACACTGGCATTTGTGTTCAACATATTGAGATGATTTCTTTACCTTTTCGCTTTGGGAGAGCACTTCTTTCCCCACAACAGGTGGAATCCAGCTGAGAGGTATTTCTCTGTGGGTTTTACATTGAGCACTTGAAATAAGATTAACTTATTAACCATTGCTGAGAGACTAACCACCAGAAATGTATCCCTTGTAAAATGCATTGTGTTAGTAATGAATTAAATGAATTGCTGAAGTATCAAAACAGTGCAGGTTTCAGTGAACTTAACTTGTAAGCAGTGGGTGAAAGACAGTGGTGGGTGAAAAAAAATCTTCAAAATAAATCAAGACACGTTGCCCTTTCCTGATTTTCTAGGGGTGTTTAGTTCTTTAACAACTTTATTAGGTCTATACAGATGAGCTGACTCCATCACAGAATTGAAATAAAAACAGTGGATAGGTGCTAATGCTCTAATGCAAAGGTCATAAGAGCTTGCCTGTGTTCAACCAATTTAAAGAAGATTGCAGTGAAGGTAAGTTAAATACCTTCATGAAATACAGACAAGCAGTTACATTTAGTAAAGCATGAAAGAATTACAGAAAATATGACAGGAAAGTCCACCTCACTTTTCCCAGGGCAAGACCAGACCTTTCCAGATAATCCCCATCTGATCTCTGGCTTCTTAACAGGTGAAAAGTCTCAAGGACAGTGTTTGAGTGAAGAACTGTGCATTGCAAAGCAGGCTCCTCAGAAGAACACCTGCAGTTTCAAAATATCACAGGGTGAATATCTCGGGTGTTTTGTGGTAAAGTAAACCTTATTTAATCTTCATAAAGCTACTTGTGGGGTGCTATGCTTGGTAGATCCCTGCTTCCAAAGGTAGAGTAGTGCAATATTCTTAGCCATTATCTTTTTTTTGTCCTTTTAAGGTTACCTTTGAGAACATAGGCAACCAAGCCAGAAAAGAATGATATTCTAATAACCTGTGAGGCTAAATGATGTCCCAAAAGAACCTGAAGATTTGAACTGAAGACTGGTAGAAAGCTAACGGATAATGACTGCAGGGCATACCTGCTGTAGGATATACTTTGCATGTGAGTGCATGTGTGCAGCATCTACAGAACATACCTGGGTGAACTACGTGTGGAGAGGACTGGATGCTTTATCTTCTGCTGTACTAGTGCAGGGCATTAAAATCCCAGTGGAAAGTTTTGCGTCTTGGCATCCATGGTTTTGGTAGTAACAGTGTCACCAAATGTGAGTTTATTTATCCACTTAGTTCTTTAGTAAAAAACTATTGAAAACCAGGCATATCAGGATGGTAGCAGATATACTCAGAGTTTAGAACAGTTCTCCATTTTTATAGTATAGGATGGAGCTGAAGAGGTTTTAAAAGAAATGTGATTGTGTAGTATGTTAATCTAAGATAACTCTTTAGTGACTTTGTGATGTTTCTCTAACTCAAATGTGTCTAGCATTGAAAAGATAAACTTTCAATTTTATTTGATACCATATTATTTCATGGATTGCCTCTGAGTGTAGTGTACCATTTGGAAACCTCTTAAGGAAGCTAGCAGGTCATCAGCGAGCCCTTGGCTCATCTCACTGCTGGTAGGCTGCTCTCCACATCCAAGAGTAAACACCAGTTTGGCTTTCAAGAATGGTGATTAAACAGTTGTCCTGGTTTGTAGCAATACTTTCACTTTTCAAATGGGAAAAACCTATTTGCAAACGCAGCAGATTATTCCAGTATTTGGTCTATTTGTACATGTCTCCTCCTTTGCAGCCTAACTAATTGCAGACCCAGTGTGTCAAAACTCATGGACAAAGACCTGAGCAACCTGGTCTAACTTGGAGGTTACCCCTGCTTTGAGCTAACTTGATGCACTAACTGGAACCCAGAGATCCCTTCCAACCTCAGTTTTATTATGACAGACATACTGAGTTTCTCTGGTGCTGGTTGTAGCACTTGCTTCTTAGTGGTTGGTCTTATAGTGAGAAGGCCAAGAGCCTTTGTTTAGCAGCTGACAACTGTCTTTACCTTTAAGTCTGAATCTTCTCCATGGTAGTTTTCAGCAAATGGGTGTATTCTGTGATCTTTGCTGCATTCTTCAGGATCTGTCTTTGGGAATTCTTGTGCAAAAAGTGACAAGATAGGAGAGAGGGGGCTGGGGAAAGCAGAAGAGTCAAAGTCCCAGCACAGGACAAGCCTTCAAAAGAACCTTTTCCTTAATTCTGATGGATTTTTGTTTATTTGGTTTTTTGCTTCCATTTGAAGTCCTTGGGCACTGTCAGATGTGGGTAAGGATTTGGCTAGATCATAGCATTGATCCTGTTTGGCAGTTTAGAGGGGCAATTTTTAAGCTACCCTGATTTTTGTGGTTAGTTCTGAATATACCAAGTACCAGGACTTCTGTAAGATCAGTCTGCTAATTTGTCCAGTGAGATTTCAAACCCAGGGGTTTTTTTCCTACCTCTTTGTACCCTTCTCCAAGACCAGGAAATGCAGTTATTCAAAGAAGAACTTTGAAGAATCATTTCATGCTCTGACCTAGGAATATTAGCAAGAGGTGTAGGCAAGTTTGGTTTGGGTTGGGGCCAGAAGTGTTCCCATGTGAGATTTAGTAAAAAACCCAGTTTCCTGGGCAGAAGGGTTGATGGGCCCTTCAGCTGCTGGAGGTCTCTTGCGCAGTTGGGGCTGGCCACTCAGAGGGGGTTTGTCTTTGGCTTTGCGCAGGGTGGGAGCCAGGAGGGAGCAGTTTGACCAAACACTTAGTCAAATGCTGAAAGCAACAATTTCTTGTTGGGTGGAATGAAATATCTGTGGTCCTAGAGGTTAAAAACTTTTCAGTAAATGCAGTTACTCATCTGACCCTTTCCCATTCTTATTTTTCTCCTCTGGGTTCCAGCTGGGAGCATTCTGCCCCAAAAGAGAGACCCAATACGATATTTCTGCTCCTTTCACTGATGTTCTCTTCCCTTGCCTTTCCTTCTGTCCTTGCTGGAGTCCCCCAGGGGAAGTGGGGTCTCAATCCCCAGCTGCCAGCCCTCATCGTGATCAGCACTGTGCAGAATTCAGGCTCTTACTTTGTCCCTCTCTATTTTCCAGCCATGATATTTTTCATCCCTTTCTTTCACACCCATTTTGGGAGCACTTTTTTAAGATCTAACTTTCAGCCCAGCAGCAGGAGGGTGCTCTGCATGCCAAGGAGAGCAGAAATGTTCTCACTTGGTGGGGGGCTAGAGGTGCATGTTAGCCCCTGCTGCCACATTGACTCAGTGGCTGTTGTGCAACTGGAGTCCAGGAATCTGCATCTAGAGAAGCTAAGTGCACGATGGTTGTGCAAATCTGCAGGTGCAGCCTCTCAGAGCGGAAGGATTAATTAAACAGAGCCAGCATGTCTGGGAGCAAAGGATTTCAGAGCCGGATTGGAAGTTGGTAGTATCTGCATGACTGCAACCTCGTTAAAGATAAATCTAAATAAAAAGACTTCCCCAACTAATAACGTAACGTATAGTTTACCCAAAGTTAAAAGAATTTTTGAGTTAAACCTGGGGAGTTGTTTTACAGGAAAAATTATTAGAATTAGGTATTCTTTAAGAACAGTGCATTATATGGCAAAGAACTGTGATTCTGCCCTCAGGAAAGAGGCATCTTCATAAAAGCTGATCGTTGTTCAGTGGCGAAGAGAGCATTAGGAACAAAAAAGTAAAAACAATGTGGAAGGGGAGGGAGAGTGTGGCACAGTTAATATAACTGAAAAATGAAGTGCAGAAAGCTGGAAATGAAAAGGCAAATGTAAAATTATCCTTGGCTGCTATCTTCAAGGACGATAAAGAAACATTCTGCTTGAAACAGAGAAAGAATTGTGTGAGGCCTCTTTGAAATGGAAATGGTGCAATTGTTAATGATGATGAAAATAAGTAGAAGCATTTAGTAAGAGTTTCTGATCTGTGTTTGGATGACAGCAGAATAATATGCTAGAATCACAGGAGGATAATGAATTAATTTCTAAATTATTAGGCCTCAAGAAAGAAGTATTATAAAACACTGACTAATAATAAGTATTTTAGAGAGTACATGTTCAGATAACTTGCAGGCGAGAGTCCCAGCAGAGGTGCTAAGAAGATAGGTGGTTTGCATATGGCAATTTTTAATACTGGAGAAATCCAGAACACTGGATTTTTGGCTGGGGTTTCAGTAAGCCAAAAGGGAAACTGGATTAGTCAAGCAAAACAATCATGTGGGAAGTTCAGAGTGAAGGACTTCTTCCTAGGCTCCGTCTTTCTCTGCGGATTTAGGGATAATCCCTGGGGGAGACGATGCCTTTGAGTACCTGCTGGATTTAAGGCCTCTTGTGGCTCTTACAGGACAGAATGACGCTTCAGCTTCTTCAGGAATAGGGCGTTCAGAGCAAACAAACAAAAAAAAAGGCTCTGGGTCAAAAAAGGCCACGAAGTGCTGCTGGTTTGAGAGGGGAGAGAGCTGGCTGAGGTTCAAAGCCATCGTCCCCCAGAGCAATATCAATTTTGGATTAAATGTCAGTGGGAGGTGATAGCGTGCTGGTTATTCTTGGATATTCTGTCCACCGGTGAGTTAAGCTCCTGCTTCCTTATGAATTATTTTCCTCTGGAAATGTTCTGCGTGGTGATGCAGCTGCTGAAACGGTAATTCCTCTTTTGATGGGCTAGGAGACGAGCGTGGAGTCTGTGCAGCTTTGAGCCTCCCTGCTAAAGAAAAGGCACACTTGCTGTTGAACTTTTGTGCTTGCCATGACCCTGTCCAGCTGCAGGGCTCGGATGATCTGTAGGGAGCATGCCTGTGATCTGAGGGAATTCTCCCACCTTTGCACCCACTCCAAAAAAGGATTTATAAGATTCACTAGAGGAAAGTCTTCCTACGTGCTGCTGTGTCCCCACTGGGGCACTAACAGGGGCTTGCCTGCTTATGGGCTCAAGGCCTGGATCAGATCTGAAAGCCTGGACTGCTTCTGTGTAACAAATTAGAGCATAAAAGTGTGTGATGTTGCCCAAAGATACAGGAAAGACATGCCTGAGTGCCACTTACCAGCCAGTGCCTTTGAGCTCCTCTCTGCAAAAGCATGCAGCAGTAAGGGAAAACCTGCTCAAAGGAACAGCATGCCTTTGGGAAGAAGTAGAAGGCAAGGCTAAGGGTGAAGCATTAAACTGGTTCACATGCTGATTCTGCTTTGCATTGTTTGATAAAAGATATTATTTATTGTCTATACGTCTGCACAGTCCCCACCTCCCCATCAGTGTTGCCTCACAGCTTCTCATTTACCCTCCGTTACAGCTCTGCTGTCCTCAGCTTGAATGGGTTCACCGCAATGGCAGTGGCGATACTTCCACTTCTATTTCCTTAACATTGCCTTGATAGGAAGGTAACTTGGCTTTTCTTAAAATGCTGGAGTGTGTTTCCCTGAATTGTATTTGACATGTATTTTTCAAATGTACTTACGTCTCCAGTGTGTGTTTTGTAATTTAAGAGTAAATTATTTTTTCTCTGTTTTCTTCTAGGAAATGCTTGTATCTGTGAATATCAGAGAGGCTTTTGTGTTGTTAGGACAACTCTGAGGTTAGGGCAGTCAACTTCTGCACTCTCACACTTTGCACCTGATATTCGTCACCATTCATTACAAGTAAGATTCTCGGCCTAATCTTCTGTTCCTACTATCAAGCTGATATTTTTAATGATGATGTGAAAGCAATATTAATTATTAGATGAATGGAAGGAATGGAACTAGAAATGGAATTACAAATGGAATTATTAATATTTATGAAAGCTTAATTATGCTATCATGTTTTGTAGACCTGCATTGAAAAAGATCTGCACCATACAAGAAACACTTTCCCTGATGCAGCTTTACATATGCAATTCTTAGCATCTGGAGCTTCAAGTGAGTGATTTTTAGATTCAGCTTAAGAGCCCAGGGCTGCTTTTCCACTGTAGGGTGATGGTGGGGTGGGGAGCTAGCGGAGCCCTTCCTTCTCAGCTGTCTGGCCTCAGGGTGAATCAAAGGCACAATGGCTGATTTACATTTATGCTACTGTTGTCTGGTTACCATAGCCTATTTCTCTCCTTACTTTCTCACTTGTCCTGCTCTGTCCTCGCCTTCTGCCTCCTGCAATAGCAGGGAGTGGGAATGCACTATATGAAACCAGCACGGGGGAACTCTTAATCTAACTCATCTGGTTTGATCCAGTAGAGATTCCACGTTACGCAGGAAAAATTTACCAAGAGAAGTCAGTGGCTTCTGCATGTGGGAAGTAAATTGAATCCTGAAACTTTTTTGCCAAAGCTGTTTGGAGGACATTTCTAGGGCCATACCCTGCATGTGACAGGCTGTTCCATCTGTTTGCAAACCAGTTACAGACAGTGAGAGCCGAAGAGATGGGGAGGTACAACTGACCTCTTCAAGGGTATTGCCAAAGCTAGAAAATACAGCTCAGAGATGTATTTTAAAAGACCTTCCTCTGACTTAGCTCTGCATCCATCTCCTTGCATGTCCTAACTCGTACTGTGAGGCTTGTGATGCTCAAATTGTAGAAATACATAAAAATGAAGCTCCCTTTCATTCACTGTAAGCTGCAAGCTTTGACATTTTCTGAAGCATTTCAGCACTCGTTAAATGTCTGACCGTGTTTCTGCTTACAGAGTATTTTCTTTGTCTTATTCTTCTACAAGTTATTAGGTTAGAATATGAAGATGAGATTTTCCTAATAGCAATATGAAAATTGGTGACAGAAAAGAGATTTTTTTAAAATTTAATTCTCCTGTTCATCCCCTCAGTAAAAATTAGAAGATTAGGAAGAAAAGGACAGAAAATGGAGTCTTTAGTTTATCTTGTAAGACCTATTAATAGTGAATATGAATGAGCACAGTGCCGTGGGCTCCTGCCTTTCCTCGCTTTGTTGTTAAGTGCTGCTGCAGTATAACTGCTGCCTGTTTTATGCATTTTGCAGTTTGTATACTGAATTTGTCTTTTGGTCACTTCTTTCTATACTTGTCACTGACAGAAACGGATTAGCATTATTGTGGAAGTACCTCAGACCTGTTGTTTCCTTAATCCATTAAGGATAGGGTTCTGAGGACATTCTTACTACACAGTGAACTGCAGACCATAGGAGTTGTCTCTCTCAGTAATTCCTTGTGCGTGGGCTGCACGGTCTGAAGGGTTTCATGCAGTCCCTGGCCTGGGTCACTGTGAAGCCACATTTAATTTAAACAAGGGTACATTCAGCTGGCTAGAATGTGTGTTTGGAGTTTAAACTCATGGTGGTTTCCTCTTCCCTCCATGGGGCTGATTACCACACATTCCTTTCTTTTAATTTCAGCCCTCTGCAGTTCTAGGAAAAGGTCATTGATTAAGTACTGAGAAACCAGTCTATTTGTGGGTCTAATTTTGTTGCTTCAATTACATTACTGTATGCTAAATATAGGAAGGCACTAAGCAAATCCCAGTTCCTGGACTGAACAGAGTGTTCAAGAGGACTGTTCAAATTTAAATGGTGTGGCTTGGGCCTCTGTTTAATTCTAGCTAATGAACCAATTTCTCACAGAGTGTAAATCAGCACATTTACATTGATTTATAGGCAAGTAGCTGGGTCATCACAGTTTCACACAGCTAAAAATGAGCCTAGTGCTCAACTCTTCACTTCCTGTTTCTAATTGGAGGTAGCAGAGATAAATGGTGCGTCATGCTGGTAGAGTTCCGAAGCCCTGGAGGGACAGCAGACTGCTTCCATCTCTTAGCTGGTGTCTGAGAACCGAGAAGTCTGCAAGGAGAGAATGTGCAACAACCTGTAAACTGGTCTTGTAGTTTGCTGCTGACTCTACATTGCTTTCTGTGCTATTCCCTGGGTGTGGTTTCTTTTTTCTTTTTTTTTTTTTTTATAGCCCTAAAATCCATGAAAGATAACGATGAAGCCTGCTTATCTTCTAAACATGTGCATATGGCCTTGGCATTGCAGGGAGCTTCAGAGTCCTGTGTGACCATGCAGATTTGCATTTTCCTTCTGTCCAGCAGGTGAAAAAAACACCCAACAAACGGAAACCCACAGCATTTTAAGTGCATGGAACACTTGTAATAGGTAAGAGACTGATTGCACTGGAGACAGGCATTTTATCTGCTGAACAGCTATGGTATATCTCAGGGAACAGCTTCTCCTGCAACGCCTCTGTGGCAGCATGCCACGGCCCTGTCCTGGGGTGACCAGTTGTTAGTCTGAGCTGCTTTGTGGCCCATTCATTCCCAGGCTCGTTGGCCAAGATGCCTGACAAAGGAGTCAGCTTGTTGGGCTTGTTGAGGCCTACCAACACGAGTGTCACAGGCTTTCTTTTATTTTTCTGCAGGGCCACACTGGAGTCTGTATAAAAGATGGTGTGAATTCTCATCCAGATGCACTGCTTGCTGCAAACTTTGCAGCAGGATTTCTCCCTCTATTCACAGCTCAGTGCTGCTGCCTTGTACTTCAAGGGCAGCTTGTGGAGAACAGTGAAACAAACTCAGTCTGATTCCTGTTTTCCTTTTTTGTGTGCCTCGAGGATATCCTCACATTCCTCGCAGCTGGTGACTGCTCTATTTCCCTGAATCTCATTCAGAGTACTGTACCTACGAGCCAGATACTTGTCATCTCTAAAAGATGTTTGTTTCCACAGAAGAATAGCAATGAGGTTACTGTCTGCTCCCTTCACAGTCAGCTAGGCTGGGAGAAGTCCAAATATCCAATCATGCCTTGGAATTCGTATTACATGAAGATAAAGCAGCCAAAAATAGTTTCCATGAGCTGGATGGTTCTATAGCTTTCTGTGTTTATCTAATAGGAGAATGTTAAGAAGTACAGTAGGTCATGCACTAAACTGAGCAAAATCATGGGGCATGTGGGAGCTCATGGAGATGAGCTTATCATTTATTTATTTGATTAACTTAACCTCTCTCTGCTTGAGAATTGCCTGCAGTTTTCTTGCATTGCTCTTATGTTTATTTGATAAAAGGAAAAACCAACCCAGCTGTACTGTGAGGAATTCGAGATGCTGAAAGAGGCTTTTGGGGAAGGGAGGAGAGAGAGAGGAGAGATTGCACAGCTCTGCCAGAGCCTTATTTTTTCCTGCCTTCCAAGAACAGGGCTGTGTTCCATCCCTTGCCGCCCCCTCAGCTGGTGCTGGGAAGAGCAGCTGAGTTTAGCTCACTGTTCCTGGAAGTCACTGAGACACCGAGCATCGAGAAACCAGCATTTTCTGTAGCAGGCTCTGCTTGAATGGAAAAGATGAGCTGATCTTCATCCCTCTTGTTCACTAGCCTGGATTAACCCTCACTGCAGCAAAAGAGGCTACAGAGGCTACAAAATGAGCTCTTATAGAAAGGGTGAAAGGCTTTCTTCATTCACTGGGGCCAGGTGTTTGATAGCCACTCTGAAATACAGTGTCACACCATAGGCCAAATGCATCCCTGATGTAACTCAAGTTCACTAGATTTATGCTAGGACCACCTCTTATTTTCTTATCTTGCCTATCAGAATTGAAGCACGAGCAGTTCTTCAGCCAACCGGACTGCTCTGGTGGCCATGTCCTCCCTGGGCTCTGCACTTCAGTAAGGGAAGTGCCTTTTGGAGTACAAACAATTTCTCCACCACAGACTCCCCCAAAATTGTCCTGGTTCAAGTATACGTTGAGGGAGTGGTTACAGCATGTGCCATGTACTGATGCACAACATATTTGATAATGTGCTTTAGGAGGCATATAAAGACTGTGTGTGCCAGAGGGTAAATTCCAGTCAGTTAAATGAAACTACTCGTATGGGGGTCTGCATTTGTGTTATGGATAAGGAGGAGGAGTTTATAGCTTATAATCTTGTAATTTGGATTCTGTTTCTTGCTGCATGGCTGGAGCCATGCACTGTACTCGGATGCCTCAGTTTCCCCTATGTGTGGTATAGGATGTACTGATACTGTGGTTTGGTTGGGGATCATGAGGGTTTATTAATGCCTGTGGGGTCCCCAGGCAGAGAGCTCTCTGGAAATGCAAACTATTACTGGGTCACTGGAAATGCACTGGCTCATTTGCTGCTTTTTCGGGCTGACTCAAAGCTTGTTATTCCACAGCTGTGACCGTCACAGCCATAGCCCCAGTGCCAAATTTATCTGAGTCTGATGGCTGTGATGAATCTAATGAGATCCAGGACGCAGCTTAAGGTGACCAGGACATAGCACATGCAGGCATTCCTATTGCTATTTCCATGAATGCAATTAGCCGAAGACGAATAGTCCAAAGGTTTTTCTCTTTCAATGGTTTTGACTTGCTTTATTCAGGGGAGAAAGAAAATCCCTTCCTTTCCCTCTGTGCCTAAAATTGGCTTAGGCTTCTCACTTGACACAGGTTGTCGAGTTGATTTTGGTCAGCCTGGGGGCTTTACTTTCTCAGTCAGGTTCTAATGAGGGCTGGCCCCTGATTTCAGCTCCTCAGTGCATTAATCTGGAAAAGAAAACACCACATACACACCCCCTCTGAACACCAGCACAGGCATCTGTCAAAGTACACACAAAGGAGGAGAGAATGAGAAGGGGTTGGGGTTAACCTGGGGTGTCACACTGTTTCTAAGCGGGCACTGGTATTTGCATGTAATGAGATGACTTTTTGAGATGATTTTTGTGGCTGTGCAGAGTTCATGGAGGTGACTGGTTTTTATTTTTTTTCCTGGCATGGGGGCTGAAGAAAGAAGGGCTAAAGCACTGAGGTTTTATGAGTCTCTGCTTTGCCCCATCCTGTCCCCTAGAAAAATTTATTGCTGTTGAAGTTTCAGGCTTCACAGTCAACAACCTGTAGTATTGCAAGGCAAGGCTGTGGTGTGTGAATCCTGTCCTGAGAGTATGGCCTCTTGGGAGGGAACTGAGCGAGCAACCCTATCTCCTGCCTCCCCCCTGCCACCGCCGTGGAAGCACTGTGGTTTGGTTAGTTGCCTGGATAAACAGCGGTGGGGAGGTTTTTCTACTCGAGCGTGTGTTCTGGGCAAGTGTAACGGCGCGGTGCCGGAGGCTGCCTGCTGCCTCTGGTGTTTGCAGAGGTGCTGAAGGTGCTGTCTCTGGCAGTTCCCTGCATGCACTGCTCAGCCCTTCTGTTGCGTGTGGTCTCGTTATGGTTTGTGCAAATTCTTGCTACAGCGTGGGAAGTTGCCAGAGCAGTGATGTTTATGCTGCTGATGAGCCTGTAAAAGTGTCTTTGTTCAACTGCCTCAGTTCTTGGAATTGATCTAGGCTAGGCAGCATCTTGAAAAACAGTAACTAGAAAAAGAAACTCTTCCACCTGATGCTTTCTTATTAACACAGATTCAAAGGGAAAAACAGAGCCACTGCAAAAGAGTGCAGGCATCCTGTGTGGTGAGGAGGTGTCGGGAGCTGAGTCAGGCTCACAAAACACCATTCAAACAAAAATCCATGAGTACCGGCTCAGCTGGATGCAGCTTCATCCCTGTGCTGTGCCCACAAGGTGGGTGAGTGTTTGCAGGGGGCAGAATAGCTAACACATGCTTATATAGCACAATACCAATAGTTTTGGTCCTTGTACTGTGGCCTTACAGATACTGCCTACAGGAGCAAATTATAGTTGTCCTATTTCTGAGTAACAAACTGGTCACAGTGAAATAAGGAATTACAGTGCAGGATCTCACTGAACCATGACAACAATCACAAATTTTCAGCAAACTGGTTTTCCAGCAGCCTTGAATTTTTATGGGTGAGGAATAGAAATTTCCTTTGATTTGGGCCTTATGATGAAAATGTTACCTTTTTTTTTGTTACCAGAAGTTGTAGGGTTGCTTGCCTGCTCCCCTGTGCGCAGTTCTGATACACAGCTCCTCTTCCGAGGCTCGGTAGCCCTGGGACATGAGGTCATACGAGCTGTGAGGTTTGTGCTAGAAACACCAGGCTTGAAACTTAAAGCACTCATTATTATTTCCATTATAGAACCATTTAGCCTTTTGCAGTCTGGGATGCCTTTAATGTTACAGGCATATACTGCCCAGCAGCCAGCGCCTGGGAAGCTTGCATTTGATACCAGCAAGGCAACCAAAGGGAGAAAAGGGACCCGGAGCCCAAGGACGCACAGTGGTTTGTCCCAGCATAGCTGATAGGTTGGGGCAGAAATGGAAATAGGCTTTAGGTCTCCTGAGTCTCAGCCAGCATCTTTGCTGCCCCTCAGTTGAGCGTAAAATCCTCCGAAATTGATGGTTGGATCACTTTTGGCTCCTGACTCAAACATAACTAGCAGAACAAAGTTACAGTTGAAAGACTGTACAGTATTTTTTAGTGCCGTGTTGTGCGCAGTTAGGACTCTGAAACAATGCTTGAAATACAGTTGAGATCTACTTCAGATGGACAGAGCCTTTGTGCAGCTGCAGCCCTGGAGTGTGCCTGCGTGCTGGAGCGTGAGGCTCTCCTGGGAAGCACAGAACAGTCCCTTCTGAAAATGTTGGAAGTGAATTTTCTGTATAACTAGGCCTGAATTTCCCTAATTCATGCTGTGTTCATGATTGTTTAGTGGATTTTGACGCTGGTGCGGTGGAACAGGATGTGTCTTTTCTGGCTCTCTGTCAAGTTTTTGTGAAAGCCCATGCGTAGCAGCAGTGTGTGCTCTGGTGTGCGCGCGTGCCAGCCATGCCTGTGCTGGGACAGTGAGCGCTTCCTTCTCTCTTCATTTCATATTCAGTAGTTTGTTTGCAAAAGCAATTTTGTAGGCATGGTTTTGTCTCCAGAGAGCAGAGGGGTGGGAGTTTGGAAGTTCAGCTGGTGTCAAGCTCCCCGAGGTGCCTGGGAGCTTTACTTGTACAGCAGAAATTGCCAGAAGCCTACTTGTGTCCTGAGACCCTTTTACACCAAGTGCTGTACTGACACAGGCAAAGGGCCGAGCTTGTGTGTGCTAACATTGCTCGTGCCTGCATTCATGGTAAGGAAACAAGGACAGTCCTGTATGGCTGAAAAAGGGTGAATCTTTTTTTTGTATTTCATTCTGCCCCCCTGCTTTAGGGCTCTGGTTGTTTTTCAGGAATGGCCCTTACACAGATGAACAGAGACCCAGAAATGCGAACTCTGGCTCTGGTGTGTACTGAGAACTCAAAATAGATGGCAGCCTTTTTCCCTCAGCGTGATGTTTCTTTGCTCTCTCCATCCCAGGGGCATTTTGTTTTTCCTGTACCTTCCTCATTGCTCTGAAGTGATTCTCCCTATGATGTTTTTTCTATTCTCTCTCTGTCCTCCTTGCTTCCCTGGCTTGGCCTACACTTTTGGCTTCTTTCCTCCCAGAATCTCATGTACCTCTCTCACTGACTGTCCCCTCAGCAGTCCTGACCACAGAGACTGTCTCTTCTCCTCCTAATGCCACCACATTTGTCCTCTTCTTCTTTCTTAAATTCTTTCTTAAATCTTCCCCTCTGTTTGATAGCTGGTTCCTCTTTTGCTCTCAAGTACTTACATCCCTACACTCTGTCTCTGTGAAAGAAGAACAAATAGACTAAACAAGAGGTTTGCCAGGTCTTTGCTGTGCTCTTGATAAATTCAGTGCTTCTGTAGCTCCTCGTTCTTCTGACAGCGCAGGCAGGGAGCCCAGCATCCCCCCTCCCACGTGATGAGCTCACAGGGAGCTGTCGCAGTTTATTCTAAGAAATCAGCTAATGTACAGTACTCAGCAAAGGCACCCCTCCCCTGGGAGGATCAGCAGAATTAGGATGTGCAGCAAGTTATCTTGGGGATTACACAATCTTATCACCTCCTCCAGGGCACTGGGGAGCAGTGAGCACCATGCACTCCGAGTCATACTTCCCCCCGCGACACGGTACAGGTTTCCTGACTCACTTCCTCCCAGGAGTTCTGTTTCCTTAGGTCTCTGCACCAACATCACAAGCAAAAAAGATGTGACAAGAGATGGGGAAGTCAAGGCAGCCATGGCCCCCAAGCCATGGTAGTGTCTGCCCTGTGCCCCTTGTCTGTTCTGACTTCGGGTGGGCAGCTCACAGAGCCACTTGCTCAGCGCTGGGGAGTCAGTAGGAGTTTTATTTGGCTTGCTGAGACTTAGGACCTAGCTGAATGTTTTCAGCTGTGTGGCTGGTTTGTATTTTTCAATGCTGAAACATCCGATCATACATTTACAGATGAAATGCATACCAATCATAGAATCGTTTAGGTTGGAAAAGACCTTCAAGATCATCAAGTCCAACTGTAAACCCAGCAGTGCCAAGTCCACCACTAAACCATGGCCCTAAGCACCATGTCTGCCCGTCTTTGAAATCCCTCCAGGGATGGGGACTCAACCACTTCCCTGGCAGCCTGTTACAGTGCTTGACAACCCCTTCAGTGAAGAAATTTTTCCTAATATGCAGTCTAAACCTCCCCTTATGCAACTTGAGGCCATTTTTTTCTCCTCCTATTGCTTGTTACTTGGGAGAAGAGACTGACCCCCACCTGGCTACAACCTCTTTTCAGGTAGTTGTGGAGAGCGATAAGGTCTCAGCCTCCTTTTCTGCAGGCTGAACACCCCCAGTTCCCTCAGCTGCTCCTTGTCAGACTTGTACTCCAGACCCCTTGCCAGCTCCATTGCCCTTCTCTGGACACGCATGATCACCCTCTTTAGGTAGGCAGCTTGTTCCTGTGTCATCTGAGTCTGAAAGGGAGCGTATGGGTGGGAGTTGGGAGTGGGCAGAACTCCTGTGGCACAAATCCTGCCCGGAGAGCCAGAAGGTTGCTAAAAGCAGGTCCTCTAGGCAATGGTGGTGGGCTTGCCTTGCTGCTGGCTCTTTGAGAGCTGGCATCAGCCTAAACTATCTCCAGCCTAAACTATCACCTAGGGGGATGCTCCAGTAGTTAGCTCTCTGCATACTTACTGTTTTTTCTTCAAGCCTCTGGCTCTGGTTTTGTAATTCTCTCTCATTGTGAGATAGTCTATAATTATTTTTTTTTTCTTTTTTAAATAAAAGAAGATTCTCAGCCCTTATAGTGACAGGGAGAGGTTGGAAAATATGACCTTCCAAAGGGTCAACAGTCTAAAGGCCAATAGCCAGCCACATGCAACCGCCATGTTCCACCCTGACACCCCTACTACTGGCATTTCAGTCTGTTGATTTCTTGGGACCCGACTCCTGGGTTCAGAGCACCTGGAAAAAGTCTCGTGTCACTCGCTTGCCTACTTCAGTGGAGTGGGAGGGGAATCTGAGTTACTGGAATCGCTGTCTCTTCAGTACCTGGAAATATTTTTTCTCTCTGCATCACAGCCTTGTTTTAGAGCATGCCGTGTGACATAAATTAAGTTCAAGTTGCTAGTCATCCCCAGAGCTCAATTTTGTCAAGCCTTTATATTAGACAGAGGATCTGTATGAGGTGTAAAAAGTCCTGCTTATCTCCACAGTGACCGGACTGACAGTGCGCGTTTCCAGGACACGTTGATAGAAGGTCAGAGCCCGGTCTGGTGTAGCACTCCTGTGGGGAGCTCTAGATCAGACTGTAGCAGCTGGCAGACTTCCTGATGTCTGCCTCCGATACCACCCCTGCACGCTGTCAAGTCGGTAATACAAAGTCATCGTACTGACCCGCTAGCTTGTGTCTCCCTGCTATTAGTGGACAAGTGAAAAAGAACAGGCCTTTCCATTTTATTTAATACGACTTCCCTGAAAGCACTAGAAGGAGCTTAAAAGAGAGTAAATGTGACACCTGGTTCCCCTGTTTATTTGTGTGCTTGTAGTTCGGCTGAAAGACAGGAGAGGGAAGTGTGACTGTATGAGACTCCACTTGGCACTTCTTCCTACGCAAGATGTGTGTTGCTGAATGAAGATTTACTTGCACTAGTTAGCGAATAAGTTGTCTCAGGGAACTGGGCATCAGTTACTTCTTTGGGAAGTTTGGTTTTCTGTACAGGTCAGTAGGACAGCATGGGATGACCAGGCTCCATTGAGATGCAAGGCAACTTGCATTCTGCCTTGCAAAATAACACTTTACAAGGGATTAAACACTTTGGCCTGGGTTGAGGATATAGTTTTCTTTTACTCTGACAGCAGAGATGATGGAAAGGTCTTTTTTCCTTCTTTCCCTCTTTCTTTTCATTTAGCAGGAACGTACACTGCTCACCTTGTTAGCTACTAATAGCTTAGGAATGCTGTGCCCCAGCAGTGATGGCCCTGTGCCTTAGCCAGGAGATAACAGTCTTGTTTTTGCACTGGGTCACAGGTATACGAAGCCAGGAACAGTACTTGTGCAAGAATCACAAAGTCAAGTACTAGTTTGAGAGTCCTACAAGAAGGAAAGATACCAAAGGTTCCCCAGCTTTGAGCTTTCAGAAGGGGAAAAAAGGAGAGCCTGCAGCACACCTGGGTTTGGAGAACAGGATTAAGAGCATTGGCCTCTGCTTTGGGTGGAGGGAGATGGGTTTAGGAGTCTCAGCGGCAGCGGAGGGCTCTGTTGTAGAATATCTGAGCAAGTGTCAGGTTTATTGCTGTCGAAAGGAGGGTTTACAAATGTGGTCAGATCTTAACTCTGAGCATGCGAGAACACTGGCATTTCCTCTGGGAAATAGGTAGCAGCTGATTACTGTGCCCATTTTTGTAGTATTAAGTGACTACATTTTTCCATTTCTTTTTGCCCCCTCTTTAGTGATCTACAATCTTTGGCCTTTAAATAAAAAAGCTATAGGACATTATAGAGTGTTGAATTTATATTAGCAGTGTCATAATCTTACTGTGGTTGCTATAACTATATCTTGAAGGGCCTCTTTAGCAGGAGAAGCCTGACCTAACACAGGTAGTTCTACCACAGGACCCGCTTCCCCTGTACTCCCACAGGGTAGCTTATATTTTTGGGATGTGCAGTCAGCTGGATATGAAGGGCAAGGAATGGCTTGTATGTGCCTAAGGCATTGTAACTAGTGGAGGAGCCTCTCCTCTACTTCAGAAAAACTTTGGAAAGCAACCAATTTGTCTCTAGCTGTCTTGAATTCAGAGAGGTGGAAGGATTTCATAATAGCACCTGGTCACATTCTTCCTTTCCCCTCTGATATCCCCAAATACTATCCTGGAACACTGGGAATTTATCCCCCTGTCTCTGCAAGGATTTTCTTGGAATATACCTGGTAGTTAAAGAAGTAGTTTTACAGTCTTGTCTAATGCTTATGGAAAGAGTCCTTGCTTGACAGATCTTGCAATCTAAATAATGCAAGATAAAACCGCAACAGATAAAACACAGGGCATGAATCGAAGGAAAGGTTAGCGAGAGGACAATTTAGACATAAACCAATTTAGACATACTGAACTAATTTTTTGTTTTCATTGCAAAGGTTGAAATCAGTAATGTGGGGAAAGGACTTTCCTTGGAGGCTTGCATCGAGTTTGCAGCTCTGGCCAGAATAGAGCCCTTTGCCCAGCTGCTTCCATGCCTCGGTCTGCTAAACCTGCGAAAGGGGAAGGGCTGTGCAGCAAACAAAAGGCAGCTTTGACGTCAAGACCTGGGACTGTTGCCCTGACACTGGGAGGTGGAGCGCCGAAAAGAATCCATAGTTAATAGGCTCTGGACTGGAGTGCACTTTGGCAGAGGGACAGCTACTACCCCTTCTTTCCAGGAATAATATTGTTTATTTCTATCTCACTCTCTCTGGCTAAAGTTACCCTAGTCAGGTTTCACTTCACCTGTCTCTACCATAAAGTCATCAGAGCCCAAGAAAAATCCAGTCAGCAGACTCCCTGTTCTCCATACCCTCTTCCCCGAAGAGCTACACTGTGTGTTTCGTTTCTTTGCTTTGACAAGTTCACTGCCGCAACTTTCTCTTATTGAAGCTTTTGCTGGTACAATTTAATAAACACATACACATGCCATTTGCTTTGTTTCCGTGTGGCTGCACGCATATGTGTAGATGTTCAGGTGAGTCTCATTCCTACCTGCCAAGGAGGAACAGTCTCTGCAGCTGTGTGTACGTGCATTGAATTCACTGCGTTAACAGCAGCAGATACTTCTGGTTTGCGCAAATGGCTCTGTCCTGTGGACTAAAGCTTTGTTCTGGGAAGTTTCAAAATGTTGCAACGCAATGCAGTAACAACCTGAAGTTCCGTGGATTTGTTACATGGTTTTGATTGGCTCTGGATTTGTCAAAAAAGGGACTATTTTTACATCAGTTTCAGGTTGCCAGCCTTTCCTGGGCAGACTTTACAAACTGTTGAGTCATGGACCAAACCTTTAGTAAACTGTCCCATATTTTCTGTTTTATTCATCTTTCCTAGCTCTGCTGTTCAGGTCAGTGAGTATTTGCCCCCTGTGTACTTATGAACACTGTGCAGCCTTTGAGGGTTTAGGAGCTGAACCCCAGCCTCTGGACAGGATGGCAAAGGCGCTCTCAGGTGCAACTGTATTTGGCTGTGTATGAGCCAGGAAGAGATGAAGGAGGACTTCATGACCAGCTTTGGAAAGCTTCACTCAGTAAATCAAATGCAAGTTTGTCTCAGAGTCCTATGAGTGGTATGCCCTGATCACTTGTTCTTTAGGTTGGCTGTAGGGAGCAACCTGTAAATAGACATTCCTAACACCGCGGGAGGCAGTACTGCTACTCAGACTGGTACAGTTATAGACTTTTTCACCAGCTCTTAGTTAACCCTTCTGAGATTTAAGATCGTGAAAGTGTGTTGTCACTCTTTTTACATATGCATATGGTATGAATTAGAAGTTTTGAAAACAGGTCTGCAAGATATTAATGATGTAAGAGTTTATAGCTCTCCGGTTTTGATATTTTTGAGTTAAATTCACCCCTTTATAATATGTGAGTTCGTTTTTTCTGTTCGCTGTCAGTTACTTTAGATTGTCCCTGGTGAGATCTGAGTTGCTTTGCTATGTTGGCCCACCTCAAATTTGAGTGTTAAAAATCATGGAAATTGTTTATGTCCAAAAAAAAAGTTTAACCTGAGTGTTTGGCAGCTCCTCAAACAGGAAGATTTAAAAGGGGTTGTTTTTTCCTCTTAGTTCCTAGTACAAGCTCGTTGCTCTCATCTTACAACATGCGCTTGGGGATCTGCAAGTTTTCAAGCTCGATTCAGAGCTGTCTGCTTCACTCTGTACTTCCCTAATCTGAATTCCTCACTGTGTATGTGTTGTAAGAGTTTCTTTGTGTGTCATTCTACACAGAAGCCAGATCCCAAGAAGCAGTAAAAAGGTTCTTTTTAAAAAAATTAGTTTCCTCTTCCAATCTCTTGCCCCTGCTGTATGATCGGGTGGTTGGCAGATGAGTGATTCTGCTCTTGTCTTGTCTGATTTCCTGGAAGAGCTTGGCTGCTGGCTGAAGTGACCGCAGGAGAGAGGATGGGAGGGACTGTCTTGCAAAAAAGCTGGTGGCAGATGAGTGCTAACGGAGAAGAAAGAGTTCTTGGATCTAGTTTAATTTCCCCAGCCTTCCTAAGAAAGGGAGGAGAATGAATGCAGCTCTCCAACACTGCGCTGTTCCAGCTGCCTTCTGCCCTTCCATATAGGCTCTGGCTCAATGTTTCCATGTTGAGCAACACAGAAGATGCTCCAGTCTGGATTTACAGCATGTTAACACTTTAGATTATACCACGGTTTATTGCTGTTTTCCACTGCATCTTAATTAGAGCTTATATTATGTTGTTACTCAGAGCCTTTGTCATCTCTTTAGACTGCACTGTGAGAAGGGGGCCACCCAGATGTTTCGGCAGTGGAGGGCAAGGTGGGGTGCTTGGAGACACAAGAGAGGACTTGAAACATAAGCACGCTGGCTGAGTGCTTCTGATAAACTGGTTGGCAGTCAAGTAATTGGCACTGGCACACTGCTATCACTGAGTATTGATGCAATTTGCTTGGATCAGGTTTTCAAGGTTTTTTGCCCAAGTCCTGGTCCTAGGAACCCCACCGATGAACTGCAGTTTGTCACAGCAGAGGGAAAACTGGTGTGATAAATTGTATGGCTGCCCAGCTATGATAGTTGTAGCTGGGGGATGAAAACAGGCAAGTGGGGAATTTCTGAGTATCAATAAGGGCAAATCCTGGCAATCAAACCCCTGTTTGGAATGGTTTCCAAACTATGTCTCTGTGGGAAAAGGCTTTGCATTTTATGCTAGCTGAGCAGAAATACTTGCTGGTAATGTGTATAGAATTAAGCCCTGAGAGGTGAGCCTGTGACACAAGTGGTTTGCTGGAAAAATGCAGCAGTTACCTTAGTGGTGGCTGAAAAACTTGACTGAGATATGGGCTATGTCTGTTTGGACAGACTTGCAGTTAGTTTTGTGCTCAAACTCTGAGAACC